TGCTGCTTGGTTTGAGAAATAGCAACCACAGCCCACAGGCGGAAGTGTGCGCGGGTACACTAAGATGTTACACGGATACACACTCTATGCACCAGCAAAGACGCTCCTCAGCCCCGAGCAGCTACGGCATTTTCTCAGATCTGCTTCTACGGCAACAGAAGAATGTGCTGGTGGCATCTTCACCAGTGACAGACTAGACAAGCCTGCTTGCCCAGAACCGTGGAAAGCCAAGTAAACTGTTATGGAGACACAGAGTGGAGACCCCGTCAGGAGACACACAGTGACGGAAGGAAATCTAGACAACAACACTGAGAGAATTAATGAACACACAGGATGAACCCTCTGTCACACTCCCACTGCGGAACACTAAACATGAATGCACAGGAGCTGGACGTGTAGCGCAGCGGTAGAGCCCATGTCTGTACCCGTCACTCTCCAGGGTCTACACACAGCAGGAATACTGCGCATGAAGCTGTGGTGAATAACACAATAGTGGTGAGCAGGTCACAAGTGTGGAAACAAGACACACCTGCAAGCAGAGCACTAGTGCTATTTAGGGTCAATATATCTTTCTTTTAAGGGCTGTCCTGTGTGTTATGTGACACTGAACAACATTCCTGACCTCTACGCACGCTATAAATCTCGCTCATGCTCTGCATCCTGAGTATAACAGGAGAGCGGAGACACACACACGTGTTCTGATGAGCACACTCAGCGATGCCTGAGAACCCCAGACACAGCAGGTGCAGTGGACACATAAGCTCCTGAATCCCAAGGTACCAGAATGGACAAGCAAAGACCACAAGGACGGCCAGGTTCTCTGTACCCTAAAGAAAGAAGATGAATGACACACCCAAAGTCCTCTCTCTACCTTTGCACACTCTCTGCTTGTCCTCACCTCCTGCACTACTTCTCCGAAGTCACTAGTGTGAAAAACCACAACAGACCCCACGGCCTCATGGTCTATGCTGACGTCCACTGCAGAGGGGAGGACTAAGGGGGCCTTGAACTGAAGCTGTGCTTTATCCAACTGTGTCTCTCTCCACAGGCTGTTTCCAGGGGCTTCCCCACGATGCCAACATGGAAGCTCAGTCCTCAGAGTTTAGAAACCCAGGAGACACTTATTGGAATTTCAGATATTACAGTCACTTGTCATCTATGAAACTCATAACAGAAGCTCATAGTCAGCTCTTTCTAAAGACATATAAATGACTAAAATTGGGAAGCACTAGAGAATGTGACAGTCCTGGACAGATCCACCCTCAGCTCCTTAAGGTAACAGAAGAAGTTGAAAATACAACGCATTGAAAATGCACAGAATATCCCTGATTAGTCAAACATCAGCGTCAAGACTTGTTTAAAGGTGCTCAACATACATCCCTTCAACTGGATTTGGGAATATTTATGCAACACATAACCAAATTCCTAATGAAATACTAAATTCCTCATAACCCTAAGGAATACAGTGCACTGTACATCGCTGGCTATTCACCCTGGTGTCCAGCTGCTGACAGAGCAGCGACTCATGACTGCTGTCCAACACCATGAGCAGGTGTTGTATGATACACTAATAGTGAGAGAAGTAAATACATTACAGAACTGAAAGATTTCAGTGAATGCATTTTCTCTTTTTCTTTAGTACTAAACATTTAACTCAGGGCATCAAAACACCCCAAAATATTTACTCCATAGCGAAACAAGCTTTTGTTCAATTGTCCATTTCAGGCCTGGTGTTGCAATGCTCTTGTCTCGGTCCCTCAAGCAGCTGCGATGAAAGGTGTGCCCCACCGGGCCTCACCAATGTTTACTCTCCCCGGGCTCTGAAATCTCAGAACATCATGGTGATTAGAAAAGCCCAACGTTGAACTAGCGTTTCCTAATTTCAATTGTGCCTCACACATGGTTAGGTGAACTGATCAGTAACAACGGAGACATATCCACAGTATCTCTTACTAGGCTGCCCTGCTCTCTTCAGGCCTGTGACCTCTGACCCTCTCAGGCAAGGCAGCTCACAGTCCTTCAGTTATGGTCACACTGAGAACAACCCGATCTCCGGGACGGAGGTCACTGTTGTCATGTCCGCGTCACCTCCCTCTCACCAGCCCTGCTCTCCCATCTCCCCTCCGCTTTGCTCCTCCATATTAAATAACCCCCTTTCCTCCTACCCATTCTCCTGCCTGTGGACCCTCACTGTGGGGATTTAGCTCTGCTTCTGTCTTGTTTTATAGAGCCCATCTCAGTCAACATTTCAGTTTTAAAGCAATGTCTAGAAACAGTGCAAGGACGACAATAATGATTCCAGGGACGACAGCCCTTGCCCTTCCCTCCGCTGTCTGTATCACATGTCCATGTCCATGCAGATGCCCAGCTCAATTTCAGTGTGGGTTTACCATGCAGCACTTTCAGAAAGCTGTCCTTGGCAAGAACCCTTCCCCGTCCCTTGGTGTTGGGTATGAATTCTCCAGTGTCACAAATAGGACAGAAGGAAGTAAACTTTCAAAAGTCTCTCAGCAATGTGAACTTTCCCTCAGCAGCGGAGAACACAGCCAGGCAATGGCAAGCAAGCCAGCTGAGCAGGCCAAGTTTTATACCTGATGCAAATGTCATCACACCATTGCTGGAGGTGGACCTCGTGAGCTAATCTGACTGGCTACATTAATGAGCTCATGATTTCTAGGCAGAGTAAATTCTGTGATTTGGAAAGCCCTTTGCTGCAAAGTTTTATGGCAGGTCAACAGCCAAGTATCCCTTGGTCTCAAGTATTTCTAGAATTATGAAACAAGTGTAAAGACATTTTACCAAAAAACGTATTACAAAAATAAGGATGCTTATAGAATGGAGATATCTGAATTATTTCCTTTGACAGAAAAGACACCTCTTTCCACACTGGTAATACACTAATATTCCCACCATTTTCTTCAACATTCTAAACTCTCTCAAAAACCTCAGTTAAATACTCTGACAGTAAAGAATATTTTGCTTATTCTATCTTATGAATAATACATCTAGCTACGGAAAATGGCTTAAGGAAGAGTTGTGTCATAAGCCATATTGATGAAAATTAAAACAAGAAGAGGTAGAGCTGGGGATACAGCTCAGTGGCATAAGCGCCTGCCTGGCAAGTGCAAGGTTGTGAGTTTGATCCCCGGTACCGCAAAAAAAAGAAAAAAGAAAATAATTGAAAACAAGAAGAGGTAGCAAACTACAGATACAAGACCAAGATTGCACTTCCTAGGGAAACAGGGAACGCAGCCTTCCCTAGCACAAGGAGGTGCCGCCACTCCCTACGAAGCTCCCCAGTTTCCAGGAAGGTCAAGTGCAAAATCACCACTTTGTCTCTAAACTCCCAGTTTCCCTTAAAGCTTACACAGTAAGAAAACTGATTTTAGAACCTGAATTTCAAATGGTCATTTTTAAATACACAGAATCACTTCTGATTTGTGGACATTAAATAACTGAGCAATTACTGTGCTATGGTTTTCTCAAATTAGCTCTGGATTGAGCAGACACCTGGTCAACTACTGAACATGCTTCCAAGAATCAAGGAGTTAATCTTTTTTTCTTTCTCTGTTTTTTTTGAAAGACTTGGTCCCACTATGCAGTTCAGGCTGACCTTGAACTCACTCTAGCCTAGGCTGGCCTCGAATTCAGAGCAATCTTCCTGCCTCAGCCTCTTAAGTGCTGGGATTACAGGCGTGCAGCACCATGCCCGACTGTGATTCTTCCTATTTCGAATGTAAACTCTGCTAATGTGGGGAGAACTGAGAGGGAGGGTTAGAAAAGGGTTTAGGCCCTCTAAGAAGTACAGGAGATGTGGCCTCTGTCAGACTAGTCATGATGCGAGCCTGCAGTTTCACACTTGTGTCCGTAGCTACAGGCTACTCCATTAAGCTCCCCTTCAACAAGGTCGATTTCCTGAAATGAAACAAGTTGATGAACTAGTTGCTGCAAAATTCTCCTACAGCCCACCAAACCCAGCCCCCTAGCAACAAGTTCAATAGCCAATCACACAGTGACCTTTGCAGGGGTTGCGAATGGGGACCCACTCCATAAACAGGACGGCACCCCAGATTTGTTGGTGACCCAGCTCTGAGCGCCCCCACTCCTCTCCCGCTGGGGCTTTGTACTGCTTCTTGCAATACCTGCAATACAGTTTTGTTGGTCTTTCCTGACTCCTTTTACTCTATGTCAGAGAAAGACAAGCCCAGCAAGTCTGAGTCTGGAGAGATGAGACCCTAGACACCCGAGGTACCCCCTTTAGGTTCAGGACCTCACTCGACAACGTCCTGAAACCGCGAGCTGTTTCTCACCATTGTGAGCAGGGGTCTGAGATAAACAACTTAAGGTGGCAACTGTTTGGGCTGCCGAGGGTGCAACGCAGGAGTTCACTGCACACTTGGAAAGCCCTGCTCCCGAGTCACGTCACCTGCAACGTGCAGCCTTGCTTTGGATGCAAGTGGCCCTTATCAACATCTGTTAAGAGGTTGGCTATATGGGACAATATTGGAAACTCAGGAATTCACTGATGCTAAAAAGGCAGAGGTCTGAGGAGCGGGGGTGTGAGATCCTGCGAGCCTGGGATGTACA